GGAAAAATAGCAACAACAAATTTAATAACAACAACAACTACAACAAATGCAACAATAAAAACAACAATAATAATAATAAACACAATAATAGCAACAAAAACAACAAGCGCACCGTGACCAGCAGCCGGGAGCAGAAGGAACTGTAAATAACCAAGACAGGCCACCGCGAGAATGGCGACTGAAACTCAATATTTCTGGCCCAACGCGACCGGAACAAAGGCGCACCGCAAAAGTCCAAGGCCCGAAGATGCCTAAAATAGCAACGGAAGTGGATTTGTAACAACAACACAAAGAGCAACGAATGACTATTTCACGGAAAATACCTTTTGCAAGCTTTATTAGTAGTGGTTGTTGTTATTTTTGTAGCCTTTGTTGTTGTTTTTGTTGCTGCTATTATGCTGCACTTGAACGCTTTTGCCCCGTTTAGCATTTTAATGAAATTTCGCTAATTAGACACGATTAAAAGCGTGAAGTGTATTTCTTGCATCATGAACACACACACGCACACACACACACACACACGCACACACACACATACGTTTTTGCTACCATATATACACTAACATTTTTATTTTTATGCACATTTATATGGGCTTGGCAGCATGGAACTCTAATTTTGTTTTATAATTTACAATCTGCAATAAAACTCACTCGTTATCGACTCAAATGTAACTAGTTCTCCCCACTACTTTCACTAGTTACAGTTTAAGATGCTTTTTTAGGTCATTGTTTCGTTGAATTTTTTTGGGGTTTTATGGAACTGTTAAAGATAGTAATTTTTTTTTTTTAGATATATGGCAAACTCTTTAACAAAAATAACTCTGAGGCAAATTAAGGTCTGGGTGCCAGATCTGTCCTTCTCTTAAGAATAAAAAGACTATTCAGCGGCGGACGGATAAAGGCGAGGTGTAGGTAGGTAGGTAAGAGTGCTGACGGAAGGATCTCAGTCTCGTTCTCAAGTAGCACTGAACTGATAGCGCCGTCACTAAATAACTGAACTAGCGTGAGACCTTAGCGAAGCTTCGGCAACGACTGTTGTAGGTAATGCTCAAATTTCACGCATGCTCTCCGTAGGGCCGTAGTACGGGCTTTAAATCCATATACATTGTCTTTTACGCAGTTTCCAACGTAGTCTCCACCTACTGTTTCCACATTCTCTTCTCCACAAGAATGTCGGATAGAAATGAATGCATCAGGGTGTACCTTTTTTTTAATAATTGGCGCTTTGTAGCGGCTGAAGCGAATTTCGACCGAGCTCCTCCTCAAACTTATGGTTTTGAGTTTACAGTTTATACTAAGTCTACAGTTTATACTAAGCTGCCTTCAAACGTCTAATGGTTTTTAATGAGGAGATTTATTTCATGTCTGAAATACACTTGGAGAGGTGGACATTCTCTGCAGATAGGCGACGCAAAACTTAACTTAATTTTTTATTTAAATTAATTTTCCATTACTTTTGCATGTGACCCACAGTATTGGAACCCGAGTCTTCCGAATGGCAGTACGTAATGCTAACCACTCGGCTACCGCGGCCGCACCTATCTTTACTGATCTTTAAACTGTAGCATCTTCCAAGCAAAACTATTTGCATCCACATCCGTGGTCCAAACACATAAACATGGGGACATATTAGGCAACTGTCTGGAAGAAGAGCTTGAGTGAAAAGATACCATTCTGACTACAATAACTTCTACGCACTATCTCTTGCAACCTCTGCGCCGTACTACTTTTGTAGTGCTGGCGACCGAACCAACGCTACATCTGTTAGGATTGATCTTATAGCGACAGTATACAACATTCTTTGGTAGGTGTTATACGCCGTATTCAGCTTTCAGTTCAATTTGACATTTGTTAAGTACCTGAGCCGTGCATATGGAGAGGGCATAGCCATATTAGTACCGGGAAAGTTACCAGATAATATTAGTCACGTGACGGAGAGCTCTCTAGAATGGGGGTCAATGACCAACATAAATGCCTCTGAAACTGATGCTGAAGCTTAGAAACGCCTGAAGCTCAACCAATAAATATTTTGGAGCACACCAAGTGAAGATGTAGTCAAAGCTCAATGGGAAACTCAGAGAATGAAAAGGCCAGTAATGCTCATTGTACCTGAGCATTGTTACTACAGACCGCTAGTCCACCCAATGTTGCTCTGGGGGCTTTGGCGTGGTGGTGAACGCTGGAGCGGATACAAACGCTGGCTGTTCTTTATATAATGGATAAGCTATTCCAACGGCTACATTAAGCAGCTGCGAAACCTTCAATGCAAAGACGAAAGACGGAGGGTGAGATGGAATGCCATAATGGCCTGCAAATCCGCTATCATCGTGCGCAATGGTGGCAAAGAAAAACACCCAAAAACACGCTCATGAAGGAAGAGGGCTGCTGTTGTAATCCCAAAGATGTTACCTGTCATTCTGCTGTCATTTCCATACAAACTAGGTGTTACCTTCCAAACTAGTTGCATTTGGACTAGTCCGTGGCTATGATTTCATTTCCATACAAACTAGGTCATTTCCATACAAACTAGGTCATTTCCATACAAACTAGGTGTTACCTTACAAACTAGTTACATTTGGACTAGTCCATAGCTATAATTTTTTTTAATGTTTCAATTTTTATTATTTTATTTTCAATTACCTTTACAAAAATTTTAAAAAATATCATTTCAGTATTTTCTAACTAGTATTAGACTAGTTACATTTGGTCCAGTTCATTGAAAAAAATTGTATTTTCTCTTTACGCCTTAACTACTGCAACTTCTTATTTACATATAGAATGCATTTGTGGCACACACAATTATACATATACGTATACAAGCATATATTATATTAAGAACCCTCATGCGCACTCATGCCTACCAAAAAAAATATATGTAGTTTTTCATAGAAACACATTTCTACTATTTATTTAACTTCTTATCGCCGATGCGAGAGATAAGAGAGTCAAGCATAGACTCACTACAACAACGCCCGCTGACTCCCACGCACTCTTTCTCTATCTTTAGGCATAAATTCAAATGTACAATGTTCTGATAGAGATATAAATGAAAAAAAAGCAACAGCAATAACAACCCTTTCAATTACGCGCAACAAACAAAAAGAAAATGTTAAAATTAAAATGAGTTACGTGACTAAACTGCAAAGTTTGGCCAAGTTCTACGGCTGGAACCACACTATACAAAAACAACACCAACATCACATACAACAACAACTCTTTGTCTCACTAAAGAATATTGTGCATATAATTAAAAGGCGTAGCAAATTTCTTATCTTTGCCGCATTAAGTGTAGCTTTTGTGTGCATTTGCAATATGTAGTCGCACATATATAATACATATGCATATAGAGAATATATAATACATATATATATATATATACATCGCCTACGCTGCTTGTCTAGCGAATTTGTGACAAAAACTTCTGCCGCAGCTCAGGACCACATACATAGCAAAACATTCTCAAAAGGCCTACAAATGTGTGTAAAGAGAGAGAGAGAGTCAAAGAGAGATAGAGAGAGGTGAGGTAAGCGATTATTCGCAAATGCATTGCATTTAAGTTTTTATTTTATTTTTTATTTTTTATTCTTTTTTTTTTGTAGATTTTGCCTATTTAATTGCTCGGCGTAGATAACAAAGCGCTAGGCAGTACGGAAGCAATTTGACAAATTAGTAAAATGTCGCAATACTCACGCATAGTAGTTGCCTGCCTTTGTTTTAGTTGTTACCCAGCGGCGCTGCAGCAGGTTTTGGTGATAAATACTCATAGTTACAAATCTAAACTGCTGTTTTACACTCAGTGCAGGGCACACGGCGTATGAGTAACCTCTAATGAGTGGTAATTATGTGCATATGTATATACGTATGTATTTTCTATGAGGTATAAAAACAAAAGCACATTTCCAGCTAAATTAAGTTGCTCCTTAAACAGTTATATTTTATTAAGCGAACTTATTTCGAAAGATTTTGTTCCGAAAATAAATAATTAGTCTAGTAAAAAGTATTCCATTATTTTTTCTAAAGATGGCTTTAGTGATATGTATCTCGCACTCTAAAAGTAAGATTGGATTATGCTAAATATTCATGAACCGAATTTCCATTGAATCAAAGCCAACACATTTGAGAAGTGGATGGTGACTGGCAGCAACATTAAATGGAATCAATCGTGGTCGAAAGGCAGTGAGCCGGCAGAAACAGTCTCCTAGCTAGGATTGACGGCGGTAAAGGTTATGTTGTCTTGTGATTGGTGGGATTTGCAAGATTTCGAGGGCCTGTACTGGCAGCAATTGAACCATCTAAAGGATGCGAGCGGCCGTAAGCGCAAGGCTTCGAACAACAGGATGGAAGTTGTGTTTTATCAGGACAAAGCTGGACCAAACATATCAATAGTGACTCTCCAGAAGCTCCAAGAGTTAAGTTAAAAGATTTTTATGTATCTACCTTTTAGTCCAGACCATGCGCAATTTGATTGTCATTTATTTTTGTCTACCATTTGTCATCTTGATAACTTGAAGTTTGTTGTCACAGCATTGTTGTTACACTGGGGTATTTTTAATTCGCCCATAATCGGAGAGACTACATAGATGTTTTGCTAACCATTTGAAGGGTCCAGTGCCGATCACGGGCTTCCACGGAGAATGCAAAATAATTAAAACTACACCTGCTTTATGAGCTCTACACAATAAGTCAAAAATTTCGGAATGTTTAGGTCTAGCAAATACGTATTCCATTAATATGAAGGCTTTATTTACAATTGATAGATTTGAATATCCGATTCCTTAGCCCTGCAGGATCATCGTTCGTCGTTTCGACGACGCGTATTTTTATTTTACCTCATTTTTTCAACATCTCTAGCCGCTGTTGTGCTTTTCATGTGTGCGGTTGTACTATTTTTTGATAAATTTGCGTAGTCGAGCCGATGAACGATGACCTCTGTGAAGGTTTTTCATACCTTATGTTTACTCCTTTTATTTATTTATTGGGTTTGTGTAGTTTTTAAAAAGATGAGTGCCACTAAAAGTTGTAACGATGAAGAGATCGAAAAATTTTTTGCAATATGTGACGACGAGTATGAATCATGTGAAGATGAAGAAACGGAGTGTGATGTGGATATCGAACATAACAAAAGCCTCGAGGAAGCAAGTTCGTTAGAAGATTGAACCGAGACAGATGAAGATATCATACCGTTAAATTTATTGAAAGTCAATTCAAACATAATTTCATACAATAAAACAATTTTGGGGTAGTCAACGCAAAAGGGAAAATCTCATCGTTATGATCTAAATATTGTCCATCAGGCTAGAGGAGCAACCCGTCCATGTGAAAATGTAATGGATCCACTGCAGTGCTTTTAGTCATTTATCAAACCAGAGATCACAGAGGAAATCGTTCAATGGACAAACGTTGAGATTGCCAATCGTCGGTCCAACTAACCTAATGTAGGTTAATGTAAAAACAGCTCTTAATTATGCCGTAGTGGAATCGATGAGCGATGACCTTTGCGTTACAAAAGTAAATAACGATATCCTTCCGGGCTTAGTTAAGATCAGGCATTTGGTGTCGGACTTGTAGTCGAAGATAGACGATGGGGATGAACGTCTCACTGTAGTCCGCTCCACATAGACAAGTAAGATTCAACGTCTTAAAACTAGGACTACAAAAGACCAACAGCAATGAGCTATAAGGAAACTCTGAAACAGCATTTCCAGCTTCCTCCAGCCAGCCATGCTCAAGTCAAGCAAATAGCTGGCACGATAAGAATTTCCGTACTGTAGTAAAGAAAGCGATCAAGCACAACACTTGCGGGGAGGAAGAGATAACGAGAGCTGACGAGAGAAGCGAGACATTTGTAATATGAAGAGCTTAGAATCGTCGAAAACTGTAGGAAAAGATACGGCGATTTACATATGGTTTGATGAGCAGAGCATGCCTCTGTAGGAACCATGGAACTAATCTGAAGGCCTCAATATGATAAACTACAATCGATGATGATTGACCAAGACACTTCCATGTTTTCGTAGTCCCTGAACGAAGGATTTATTCGGTCTCTGATTTCAACTCATTTAACAATCCAAGCCAAGCCCTGATGGCCTCAATTTATGCAAAAAATTACGTTTTTTTACGAAAAACTAAGTTTTTAATTTCACCCACTTTAAGAAAAAATTTGGACGGTCTACTTCACAACACTGCCAATGCTATTTTTCATTATAAAAAATTTGAGAAAATAATCTTTTTTTTGGCCTTCAAGACCTATGTAACCCCTTAAGCGGTGGGAGATAATGACTCAGCACTGAGGTGGAGCTCAAATCTACAAAACAAATCGAATGTTTTATCTAGTGCACTAAGTTCAAGAGTAAAGCCAACCGCCAAGGAGCTCTGATAAGACTTTATCGGTGTGTATTCAGATCAAAGGCCAGATATTGACCATGCTAACAATCCCAAAAAAGACTCATGAGAAAATAGTCGCCGCTAACCACATCTTGGTCGATTTTTAAATTGTTTCTTTAGACTATATAACCTTTCGGATCTCTATTTTATTGTTTTTTGAATTTGTACTGAGTTTAATATTTTTCTGTAAATATTTTTAAATTTTTTTAAATTTTGTTAATCTAAAATTTTAAATAAATCACAACGTAAAAACCAAAATGAAACTTTCATTTATAACAACCCAGACCTTAATTGACATGGTAAGGTGGCATTGATGGTACAGCTGTTATACTTAGTAATTTTTTAATAAAAAAAAATATATATATATTGGTTTCTGATAATTTATATATTTTCTTAATTAAAAAATTACTAAGTACAACAGCAATTGCTGTGCCATAGACTATTGGAAACATATGTATTTGAGAAGCACTAAACGTGTGGTATATGTAATATTATTTTATTAAATTTCCATTTAATTTTAGTTAGAAATATTTTTTTATCCTTTTTTTAAATTATTTTTCCTTTTTTTACTACCAAGCCTTATCAAATAACACATTTTATTAGTATTGAATTTGATTTCGATTGCCAATATATTGCTGCATTGTGGTTGCCGCTAGCAACAGCGTCGATTGATTTTATCGCGCGCAAATAAAATTAGTTTATTGAGCGCAAAGCAAGAAGAAAAAAAGAGACTTTGTATTATTGAAACAAGCAGAGACAGAAAGCGTTTGCCAAACAAAGATGTAAATTTCCACTTCACTGCGGCTAATCCCATAAATTTGCCGCGCGCCGCAACAGTTTCAATGAAAGCAGGAAGCAGCGCCAGTAAGCGAATGGTGAAAAGGTCGGCGGGCAGTCAGCCAGGCAGCCAGCAAGCAAGTGAGCATAGCTATGGCCCTCTCTTAGTGCGTTAAAACTTTTGTGCACTTGTTGTATGGCTTTCGCGCTGGCTGCCAAATGGCGTGCATGGATTTGGTAAATACACAAATAAAGAAATGTGTGTTTGTAAATGTGTGCTTGTTTAACGAATTTTATTGCATATTTAAATTTATAAATTTTTATTGATTTTATTTTTATTTACTTAATTCTTTGCAGCTTTTATGTGATTTGTTTATTTAATTTTTTTTTCAGCCTTCATGTAATTTTTAACTTTATTTTTAACTTTTATTTGATTTTATTATTTTATTTGTTGTCTAAATTGTGTCGTCACTGACGTTGTCATTGGCATTTTATTTCATACACACATATGTATATGTGCTTAGAGTGTTTTGATGTGGTAATCCGTTTTTTATATTTATTTATTGAACTTTAATTTATTTATTAACTTTTGTTATTGTGGATGACCGCTTTCAACATTGCACGTCACTCAATGTTACGTATACGCCGCGGTGCACTCGGAATCTAACAAAGAGAAATAAATATTATATTCTCACATCGACATTTGTAACATATGCATGTGAGAGATAGTAAATAAAATGCCATTAGGCAACTCTACCAAATAACGAGATTTATTCGTCATTTTCAATAACTAAATATGCCACTGTGCGCCAAAATTTGAAAAAGTAAAAATGTAGTAAAACAAGTTTCAATAATATATAATCAAATTCAAGACTTAAATACTTTCAAAATATTATCAATCATTTCTTCAAACTTATTCTTTTCATTACGACTATTATTAGTACTCACGGTAAAAAATGGATTACTCCTTAAATCACTGCAAACGCCACGTCTGTCACTGTCCAGCAGTTAGCACTACTTCCAAACAAGCCTCGGGTAAAACCTAAATGTGCACTGTCCATTCCATAAAAAGAGAAACCACAGTCAGCGCCAGCGTAGAATAAGGCTCCTCATAAGCCCACCACCTCTGATGCCCCAGTAAGCAGTACAAGTGTATTTTTTTTTCTCATGCAATGTTTTGATTATCTCTTTGCAAAGCATTGCAAAGCTTGCATTAAAGTAAGTAAGGATATATATAAAGTTGTCAAATATCTCCCTTCCGCTTTTTGCTCTTCATTCAATGCTTTATAAAAAGTGTAACAGTGATCGGATTTAGTTAAAATATGCGCCGTTTTGTTCGATTATCTGTTTCCATCTAGATGGAAACTTCATAATACCTTGCTCGCAGAAGCCCCGCTCTTTATTTGCGAAGAATTCGGACAGCCACTTTTCACAAGCAACTTTTGAGTTCAACTTCACACCACCAAGGGCACTCGCCATGGACAGGAACAGGTGGTAATCACTTGGCGCAACGTTCGGGCTATATGGTGGATGCGATAAAACCTCCCATCCGAGCTCTCGTAGCTTCTGACGAGTCGTCAACGAAGTGTGTGGTCTGGCATTGTCATGGTGGAATACTACGCCCTTCCTGTTGGCTAATTCTGGACGCTTCAGGCCGATCACCTGCTTCAAACGGTCCAGTTGTTTGCAGTAGATGGTAGAATTAAGCGTCTGGCCATATCGGAGCAGCTCATAGTGGATGATTCCCTTCCAATTCCACCAAACACACAGCAAAATCTTCCTAGCCGTCAATCCCGGCTTGGCCACTGTTTGGGACGATTCACCGGCCTTCGACTACGACCGTTTTCGCTTGATATTGTCGTATGTGATCCAGTTTTCGTCGCCAGTCACCATCCGCTTCAAGAATGGGTCGAGTTCGTTCCGTTTCAGCAGCATATCGCAGGCGTTGATTCGGTACAGAAGGTTTTTTTGCGTCAAATTATGCGGCACCCAAGCATCAAACTTTTTTTTGTATCCAGCCTTCTGCAGATGGTTCAAAATGGTTTGGTGACTAACTCCCATCTCCTGGGCGATGTCACGAGATGCCATGTGCCGCTCTAACTCGATGTATTCCACGATTTGATCGGTATTTGTCGTCACAGGTCTTCCGCCGGCTGGCTCATCCATGGTGTCGTTTTCACCGGCTCTGAATCGTCGAAACCATTCCTCCGCGGTTCGAAGTGATAGAGTACCATTCCCCAAAACAACATTAATCTCACGGAACGTTTCTCTAGCGGATTTGCCTTTAACGAAGGAAAACTTTAAAATAGCGCGAATTTCGGCGTTAGTGAACTCCATGTTTACACGTCTATAACTGTTGAACGCAATATCCAAAGTCTAGTCATGCATAGCGTTGTTTTGTAGGTTATGTCAAGACCTTTCAAATTATGTATAGTGTTGCCAGATACGAGCTCTGTAGCGCTTTGTACATAACTGAGAAAATTAATTTTCAAAGGCATCCTTGTTGCCAACTCTTCACCAGTCGTATTATTCGCCATAAACAAAAATGTCTGGTAATCCCTTGGTGCGAGGTACGGACCATTAGGTTGCTGCACCTCTCACCACAGTGACTCCGGCGAGTCACTACCGACGTTTCTGCTCTGGTGTTGTCATACTGAAAAAGGATTCACATCCTGTGAGCCAAGTCTGCGCTTTACTGGGTGATTGCTACCTTCAGACTATGCAATTGGTTACTCTCGTGGAGACCGCTCACTGTCATTCGCCCACGACCAGTTAGTTTTCCGTTGCTGCATTTTGCATCAACACTCACAAGCCATTACAGAGAATGGTTGATTTTGTCATTATTTTATTTGTTCAGCAGGGATTCGTAGACGGAAATTTGGTTCATCAGATTTTTCATCGTCAACTTCAGCACTTATCAAGTGCTTCTAAACTGTCTATTGAGCAATACTCGGCTTCTGTGCCAACAATGCTC